GTGTAGAAATATACCTAGTTGGATGAATCTTATTGTGGCTAGCTGGTCTAGTGGCTAACGCGACGGGCTGGAGTTTTGAGACTCTGTGACCGCGGGTTCAATCCCGGCCGGGGGTATGGTTTGACTTTCAGTTGGACAGGTAGCCTTTTATCCAGCGGAGAAGCCATCCTCCAACATCCATTCTGGCAAGTTCACTAATGATTACATGTCGGTTGGCTACATCAAATGCAGATTTAAGGTCAAGGAAGGTAGTGTATGAGCTGTCAGTGTGCAGAGTGAGAAAGGTGGCTATGCAGTGATGCACGCTCCTTCCATGCATGAAACCATGTAACCGGGGAGATAAAAATGTTTGATTCTGAACATGAGACGATTAAGAACCATCCTCTCGAATGTTTTACGCAAGCAGCTAGTAAGAGATATTGGGCGAAATGCATTTTGTTGATTAGGCCTTGGAATTGGAATGATGAGGCTGTTGGTCCAAGATTTAGGGAGCTCCCCAGTTACATAGCTAATGTTATATAATTCAGGTAAAGGATTACCTGGTACTCGACATAGCAATCTGAGTATGTTGTAATACCATCCTCCCCAGGAGACATGGAGTTGCCCTTAGTTAGTGCTGCATCAAGTTCATAATTAGTGAAAGGAATGTTATAGTCATCTTCCTTGCTTAGCATAAAACAAATAAGTTTATCCCTTGCATCATATTTGTCCATTAATTTCGCCTGTGTGGTACTTGGAAGATTGTCATAGCTAGATGTAACATGTCATAGCTATGATGTAACAGCTCAAACACTGACTAGCTCATTAGCCTTATGTAAGGGATGAATGAGGATGCGCGATCTGCTCAGTTCTGTTACCCTTAATTCTATTTATGTCCCTCCATGCCCGGCTAAGTGGGGTGTGAGCATTGTGACCATTGACAAATTTTTCCCAGTCTGCCATAGCTCCGCCATACGCTCTCTGGCAGTAGCAAGGGCAGTTTGAAAGAGCCTCAGAATTTCAGGGGTACGATGATTTCTGTAGGCTAGGCCTAGTCTGCGAGCGTTTTAATATTCGAAGTTTAGGATCATTGTAATAAGTATGGTTTTCATAGGAGGTCTGATTATTATTGGAGTTATTTGGGTTTAGAGTACCAGGAGGTTTCAGTGCCGGTTCTAGGTAGTTCTGAATACTGCTCACAAGGTCATTGTTAAAGGTCTCAACAGAGGAACACACATATGAATTATACCAGTCAGTCACATGTGCGACAAAGTCATCATGTTGATCAGGGGAAACATTAAATCGTTTCCGTTTGAATATCCCACCAGGAAAGATAGTATTACCAATATTTAGAGTGGTTAGCTTTGGGAAACGATCAGATGATATATCTGTTACAATGGAAGACTCTCAGCTGGCAGAAGTAATGTTGAGGCCAAGACACAGATCAAGGACACCTCAATAGATATGTGGGTTCAAGGTCACCTACAATTTTCACATTATCGTGACTGTTTACCATTACGATTACCAAATTCTGAGTTTCCATTGCTTTTGTGTCTTGCATTATAATTGCCAGTAATAAGAATAGGTTCATTCATTTCCAACTCCTCTCCTGGACAAAATGCCACATATCACAGGGTTCCCACCCTTCTTCTTAATTATCTCTATTGCTGTCCTATGCCTGCTAATCAGGTCTTCACTCCTATGTCTGGCAACATCGTTGCCTCCCACACTGAGACAACAATATCCCCCATCCCAGCCCCAGGAAAACATACCCTCTGCCTCCTCTTCCTACCCCTAAGACAAAAAGCCCTATCCATAAACTTAACCTGACTGTCCCCAACTAACAACATGTTCTTATCTTCACTGGCGGAGTTTGTCATGACTTTCTCGATGGTCTTCGTTGGGATGACCTTCATTGGAATGGTCTTCGTTGGGGTTTCAAGGGATGTTGACTCACCCTCGTCTGCCAATGCTTCCTTGGTGCTCGTTGTGAAGTTCCCAGTAGACAACCCACATTCGTCTGTTAGCACAGTAGTCTTCCGGATCTTCATTGTTTCTACCACTCCATCAGTCTTCTTAATCTTCAGCTCTTTCTACGTTGCCCGACAACTGACCAGGTTTCCCTCTTGACCTGAGGACTCACAACAGGAGGATTACTACGAATCCTCTTGTTTTCCTCTGTTAATTGATGTATCTCGAGCTTAGCTACCCTAAGTTATAATAATATCTTTATTTACTGTAAGAACATGTACAAGGTATACAGACCATAGCTGACATCAATGACATACTACTATATAGAAAACCCCTTGTTATGCTGAGCATTTAGGGCAAATTAAGTCAGTGTCCCTGGATGCGACCCACACCAGCCGACTAACACCCAGGTACCCATTTTACTGATGGGGAACATAGATAACAGGTGTAAAGAAACATGCCCAATGTTTCTATCCTGGCTGGGAATCGAACCCAGGCCCTCGCCATCTGAAGTGAGAGCTTTAGTCACCAGGCCACCAGAGCCCAAGTTCGTTTTTATGCTGCTGATAAAGTTGTTCACTGGAGGACATCTTGGTTCAGATTCGCAGGCCGTACACTAGACCCGTCCTCCCAGAGCTAAGTACAGGTTACCACTGCACTGTCCACACTCTTACCATACCTGTGTCTGGCTTCTGACACAAGCATTCCACAGTTTACACTTAATGAGCTGAGAGCATTTATGGATGACAGAAAATCAGTTACAATTAAAGTGTCAACCTTAGATATGGTAAATATGAGTACAAAACAAATTCCGGCCACAAAATAGAGCGAAAAACCAACGCCAAAGACCTGGTAGTGATCATGTCGGAGGATCTCACCTTCAAGGACCATAACATTGTATCAATCGCATCTGCTAGAAAAATGACAGGATAGTTAATGAGAACTGTAGAAAATACTGTATATTTTCCAAAAATACAGTGTATTTTATATGTAAATTGATGGCCTATATTGTAGGTAATAAAAATTAATTTGTAAATAAATAAAGAACCAGCGATGGGTGAGCGTCGCTGGGGAAGAGATGCTATTGTTTTGAATGGGGTAAAGGCATGCTAATGAAATGTGCATAAATTTTTGTCGCTCTGGGGGTTATATTGGGCTTAAAACCTCTCAAATAAGAGCCGAAATTGTTGGATTTGCAGTCCTGCATAACGTGAGCATTAAGCAGATGGACAAGACAGCTTCGGAACCCCAGCTAAGTCATGTCTATTTTGTGTTGAAATTCTGGCCAGTATTTTCTTCATAAATTTAGGCAGGGGTTTTGAGTATGACACACCGTAATCTCCAGACTAATTGGCGAGTCTTATTATTATAAATTCTCCTTCAATGTATATGTCTTCACATTTTAAATTTAATATACAGTCTACATATTTATATTAATGTTTTTATCAGAATTCCTGGTGATGTATATTTCATTTGAAATTAATATAGGTCCAGAGTGATTTGTGGAGAGATAGATTATCGTAGGTATCGAAGGAGGACATTTTTTGCGACCTAAGTGTCCTAAAATTCCTACTTGTCTCTGTAACCTTGATAAACAATAATTATCTTTGTTACCATTTACTGGTATGTATCTTATGAGTTACATCCAGGTAAATTTAATTTTCCACAAAACCTTCAAAACTAGGGATGCCAAGCCCATGATGACACTTTTCAGGTCACTTGTTCTATCTAGGCTGGAATATTGCTAGACACTAACAGCGCCTTTCAAGGCAGGTGAAATTGCTGACCTAGAAAATGTACAGAGAACCTTCACGGCACACATAATGGAGATAAAACACTTCAATTACTGGGAGCGCTTGAAGTTCCTGAACCTGTACTCCCTGGAACGCAGGCGGGAGAGATACACGATTATATACACCTGGAAAATCCTAGAGAGACTAGTACCGAACTTGCACACGAAAATCACTCACAACGAAAGCAAAAGACTCGGGAGACGATGCAACATCCCCCCAATGAAAAGCAGGGGTGTCACTAGCACGTTAAGATACAATACAATAAGTGTCTGGGGCCCGAGACTGTTCAACTGCCTCCCAGCATACATAAGGGGGGATTACCAATAGACCCCTGGCAGTCTTAAAGCTGGCACTGGACAGGCACCTAAAGTCGGTACCTGACCAGCCGGGCTGTGGCTCGTACGTTGGTTTGCGTGCAGCCAGCAGTAACAGCCTGGTTGATCAGGCGCTGATCCACCATGAGGCCTGGTCACAGACTGGGCCGAGGGGGCGTTGACCCCCGGAACTCTCCAGGTAAACACATCTACACCCGGTCACAACTGTAATGAGCCATTAGTGCTTACTTTTAGCCACTCCATTTTTCCGCTCTGCGACAATTCTCTAACGGTTTTGGCGGGAAGCAGGTTACTAAACTCAAATGAGGTGTGGGGGCGTCCCGCTCTGCTGGGGCTTAGCAAGGGAGTCCACCGGATCTAATTGAACACTTCACGTTTCTATTTCTATTTACAAAGAAACTTTTGTTCTTTTTCTTTCATCGCCCGGTGGCCTGGTGGCTAAAGCTCCCGCTTCACACACGGAGGGCCCGGGTTCTATTCCCGGCGGGTGGAAACATTTCGACACGTTTCCTTACACCTGTTGTCCTGTTCACCTAGTAGCAAATAGGTACCTGGGTGTTAGTCGACTGGTGTGGGTCGCATCCTGGGGGACAAGATTAAGGACCAAAATGGAAATAAGTTAGACAGTCCTCGATGACGCACTGATTTTCTTGGGTTATCCTGGGTGGCTAATCCTCCGGGGTTAAAAATCCGAATGAAATCTTATCTTATCTTCTAACTTTTAGCAAGAAATCTTCCCGGTGCCATCGGGAAGTCGGGTTCGATATTGCGTAAGCTGTCAGTGGCCCTGATAAACCCAACAAAGAAAGAAAGAGATGAATGAAAGTCTTCAAGAAAAAAACAAGACCGTCACCGTCGACAAGCAACCCAGAAGCTTCAAAAAAAGAAAAAAAAGCATGTCTGCACTCCACCAATGCTGGCGCTCAGCTCCAAAATGTCAAGTCAATAGGTGTAGTGTGAGGTGAGTAAGATACACGTCAGCTGTAAACAAGTTGTACTTCGCTGACCAATAACAACCCTCCTAAGAAAGCTACCAGTGACATCACTACTGCACCGCAGCCAATCAGATGTGTTGTTACAGACAGCTGGTGGTGGGACCACTGAGATCAGGTTGTTGTTGTTGTGCTGCTGCTGTGCTCCGCTGTGCTCCGCTGTGCTCTGTTGTGCTCTTACAATATTGAGTGTGCGTGTGATGCGTCACGTGATGCAAGATGTGTCAGCGGCACTGCTGCATCATGATACAGCAGCTGCTGCTGTTGCTAGTACTGAGCTGTGCTGATGCTGAGCACCCCATACCAGGTGCACACCAGCTGTATGCTCAAGCATTACCCACACACCAGCTGTCTCAAGCCCAACACATACATACTGAGCCTCCCAGGTGGGCTGACGACCCTAGTAGCCACAGGTGGGCTGACGACCCTAGTAACCACAGGTGGGCTGACGACCCTAGCAGCCACAGATGGGCTGAGGTCAGTGTCAGCCCCAGGTGGGCTGAAGGCAGCACCCACCTGGAGGATGACAGTGATATCGTAGTGGATGATGTCTATGATGATGACCTGGAGCTGGAGCCTGTGCACTCCAACACCGAGGATTACCAGGAGATCTACGGAGGAGCGGAGTACCAGGAGCTGCCACACTGTCAGCAGGACCCAGAGCTGGAGGATGGACATAAGTATGTTACCCTCACACTGCTACCCTTACACACTGCTACCCTCACACAGCTACCCTCACACACTGCTACCCTCACACTGCTACCCTCACACTGCTACCCTCACACACTGCTTCCCTCACACACTGCTACCCTCACACTGCTACCCTCACACTGCTACCCTCACACACTGCTTCCCTCACACACTGCTACCCTCACACAGCTACCCTCACACACTGCTACCCTCACACTGCTACCCTCACACACTGCTACCCTCACACACTGCTACCCTCACACACTGCTACCCTCACACACTGCTACCCTCACACACTGCTACCCTCACACACTGCTACCCTCACACACTGCTACCCTCACACACTGCTTCCCTCACACACTGCTACCCTCGCACACTGCTACCCTCACACAGCTACCCTCACACACTGCTACCCTCACACTGCTACCCTCACACTGCTACCCTCACACACTGCTTCCCTCACACACTGCTACCCTCACACTGCTACCCTCACACTGCTACCCTCACACACTGCTTCCCTCACACACTGCTACCCTCACACAGCTACCCTCACACACTGCTACCCTCACACTGCTACCCTCACACACTGCTACCCTCACACACTGCTACCCTCACACACTGCTACCCTCACACACTGCTACCCTCACACACTGCTACCCTCACACACTGCTACCCTCACACACTGCTACCCTCACACACTGCTACCCTCACACACTGCTTCCCTCACACACTGCTACCCTCGCACACTGCTACCCTCACACTGCTACCCTCACACACTGCTTCCCCTCACACACTGCTACCCTCGCACACTGCTACCCTCACACTGCTACCCTCACACACTGCTACCCTCACACACTGCTACCCTCACACAGCTACCCTCACACACTGCTACCCTCACACTGCTACCCTCACACACATGCTACCTCACACACTGCTACCCTCACACACTGCTACCCTCACACACTGCTACCCTCACACACTGCTACCCTCACCACTGCTACCCTCACACACTGCTACCCTCACACACTGCTTCCCTCACACACTGCTACCCTCGCACACTGCTACCCTCACACTGCTACCCTCACACACTGCTTCCCTCACACACTGCTTCCCTCACACACTGCTATCCTCACACTGCTACCCTCACACTGCTACCCTCACACACTGCTATCCTCACACTGCTACCCTCACACACTGCTACCCTCACACTGCTACCCTCACACTGCTACCCTCACACACTGCTACCCTCACACACTGCTACCCTCACACACTGCTACCCTCACACACTGCTACCCTCACACACTGCTACCCTCACACACTGCTACCCTCACATATTGCTACCCTCACACACTGCTACCCTCAAACACTGCTACCCTCACACACTGCTACCCTCACACACTGCTACCCTCACACTGCTACCCTCACACTGCTTCCAACACACACTGCTACCCACACACACTGCTACCCTCACACACTGCTACCCTCACACACTGCTACCCTCACACACTGCTTCCCTCACACACTACCCTCACACTGCTACCCTCACACACTGCTACCCTCACACACTGCTACCCTCACACACTGCTACCCTCACACACTGCTATCCTCACACACTGCTACCCTCACACACTGCTACCCACACACACTGCTACCCTCACACACTGCTACCCTCTCACACTGCTACCCTCACACACTGCTACCCTCACACACTGCTACCCTCACTGCTACCCTCACACTGCTACCCTCACACACTGCTACCCTCTCACACTGCTACCCTCACACACTGCTACCCACACTCTGCTACCCTCACACGCTGCTACCCACACACTGCTACCCTCACACACTGCTACCCTCACACTGCTTCCCTCTCACACTGCTACCCTCACACTGATTCCCTCTCACACTGCTACCCTCACACACTGCTACCCTCACACTGCTTCCCTCTCACACTGCTACCCTCACACACTCCTACCCTCACACACTGCTAACTCTCACACTGCTACCCTCACACACTACCCTCACACACTGCTACCCTCTCACACTGCTACCCTCACACACTGCTACCCTCACACACAATTAGGTGAGTACACTGCTACCCTCACACACAATTAGGTGAGTACACTGCTACCCTCACACACTGCTACCCACACTCTGCTACCCTCACACTGCTTCCCTCTCACACTGCTTCCCTCTCACACTGCTACCCTCACACTGATTCCCTCTCACACTGCTACCCTCACACACTGCTACCCTCACACACTGCTACCCTCATACTGCTTCCCTCTCACACTGCTACCCCCACACACTCCAACCCTCACACACTGCTAACTCTCTCACACTGCTACCCTCACACACTACCCTCACACACTGCTACCCTCACACACTGCTACCTCTCTCACACTGCTACCTCTCTCACACTGCTACCCTCACACACTGCTACCTCTCTCACACTGCTACCCTCACACACTGCGACCCTCACACTGCTACCCTCACACACTGCTTCCCTCACACACTGCAACCCTCACACACTGCTACCCTCTCACACTGCTACCCTCATACACTGCTACCCTCACACTGCTACCCTCATACACTGCTACCCTCACGCAAAATTAGGTGAGTACACTGCTACCCTCACACACTGCTACCCTCACACACTGCTACCCTCACACTGCTACCCTCACACACTGCTACCCTCACACTGCTACCCTCACACACTGCTACCCTCACACTGCTTCCCTCTCACACTGCTTCCCTCTCACACTGCTACCCTCACACACTGCTACCCTCACACACTGCTACCCTCACACACTGCTTCCCTCTCACACTCCTACCCTCACACACTCCTACCCTCACACACTCCTACCCTCACACACTGCTCTCTCACACTGCTACCCTCACACACTGCTACCTCTCTCACACTGCTACCCTCACACACTGCTGCCCTCACATACTGCTACCATCACACTGCTACCCTCACACACTGCTACCCTCACACACTGCTACCCTCACACACTGCTACCCTCACACACAATTAGGTGAGTACATTGCTACCCTCACACACTGCTACCCTCACACACTGCTTCCCTCTCACACTGCAACCCTCACACTGATTCCCTCACACACTCCTACCCTCACACACTGCTCTCTCACACTGCTACCTCTCTCACACTGCTACCCTCACACACTGCTGCCCTCACATACTGCTACCATCACACTGCTACCCTCACACACTGCTACCCTCACACACTGCTACCCTCACACACAATTAGGTGAGTACATTGCTACCCTCACACACTGCTACCCTCACACTGCTACCCTCACATGCTGCTACCCTCACACTGCTACCCTCACACACTGCTTCCCTCTCACACTGCTACCCTCACACTGATTCCCTCTCACACTGCTACCCTCACACACTGCTACCCTCACACACTCCTACCCTCACACACTGCTAACTCTCTCACACTGCTACCCTCACACACTGCTACCCTCACACACAATTAGGTGAGTACACTGTTACCCTCACACACTGCTACCCACACTCTGCTACCCTCACACACTGCTACCCTCACACACTGCTACCCTCTCACACTGCATCCCTCTCACACTGCTACCCTCACACTGATTCCCTCTCACACTGCTACCCTCACACACTGCTACCCTCACACTGCTTCCCTCTCACACTGCTACCCTCACACACTCCTACCCTCACACACTGCTAACTCTCTCACACTGCTACCCTCACACACTGCTACCTCTCTCACACTGCTACCCTCACACACCTACCTCTCTCACACTACTACCCTCACACACTGCTACCCTCACACTGCTACCCTCACACACTGCTACCCTCACACTGCTTCCCTCACACTGCTTCCCTCTCACACTGCTACCCTCACATACTGCTACGCTCACTCTGCTTCCCTCTCACACTGCTACCCTCACACACTGCTACCCTCACACTGCTTCCCTCTCACACTCCTACCCTCACACACTGCTACCCTCTCTCACACTGCTGCCCTCACACACTACATTCACACACACTGCTACCCTCACATGCTGCTACCTCTCTCACACTGCTACCCTCACACCCTGCCTTCTCTCTCACACTGCTACCCTCACACACTGCTACCCACACACACTGCTACCCTCACACACTGCTACCCTCACGCACCGCTACCCTCACACACCGCTACCCTCACACTGCTACCCTTACACACTGCTACCCTCACACACTGCTACCCTTACACACTGCTACCCTCACACACTATCCTCATACACTGCTACCCTCACACACTGCTACCTCTCTCACACTGCTACCCTCATACATGCTGCCCTCACACACACTGCTACCCTCACACACTGCTACCCTCACACACTGCTACCCTCACACACTGCTACCCTCACACACACTACTACCCTCACACACACTGCTACCCTCACACACACTGCTACCCCTCTCACACTGCTACCCTCACACACACCTACCCTAACACACACTCCTACCCTCACACACTCCTACCCTCACACACACTGCTACCTCATGCAGATTCCTACCCTCACACACACTCCTACCTTCACACACTCCTACCCTCACACTCTACCCTCACACACACTGCTACCCTCACACACACATGCTACCCTCACACACACACTGCTACCCTCACACACACTGCTACCCTCACACACACTACCTACACTCACTGCTACCCTCACACACTGCTACCCTCATATGCTGCTACCCTCACACTGCTACCCTCACACACACTGCTACCCTCACACACTCCGACCCTCACTCACACTGCTACCCTCACACACTCCTACCCTCACACACTCCTACCCTCACACACTCCTACCCTCACACACTCCTACCCTCACACACTCCTACCCTCACACACTGCTGCCCTCGCACACTGCTACCCTCACATGCCTAACATAGGAAGTGGAACAGTCTAGTAAGTGATGTAGTGGAGGCAGGAACCATACGTAGCTTTAAGACGAGGTATGACAATGCTCAGGGAGCAGAGAGAGAGGACCTAGTAACAATCAATGAAGAGGCGGGGCCAGGAGCTGAGTCTCGACCCCTGCAACTACAATTAGGTGAGTACACCTACCCTCTCACACTCCTACCTTCACACAGGCAGGGCCAGGAGCTAGGACTCGACCCCTGCAACCACAAATAGGTGAGTACACATTCGTACCCTCACACTCCTACCAGGATGCTACCCCACAACATCCCTTTGACTCAGATGAGCCAGAGGGATGCTAGGAAGTATTTCTTCAGTCATAGAGCTGTCAGGAAGTGGAATAGTCTGGCAAGTGATGTAGTGGAGGCAGGAACCATACATAGTTTTAAGACGAGGTATGATAGAGCTCATGGAGCAGGGACAGGGAGGACCTAGTAGCAGTCAGTGAAGAGGTGGGGCCAGGAGCTGAGTCTTGACCCCTGCAACCACAAATAGGCGAGTACAAATAGGTGAGTACATACATGGGGTACCTACTTATTGCTAGGTGGGCAGGGGCAGTAGGTACTTGTATATGTTATTAAATCTCCTTTCATTTGTATATCAGTTAGCAATAGCACCCAGAATTTTAGGTAAGATAAAGTTGATTGTTTTGACATTTTTTAGACCAAAAAATTTTGTTTATTATTAAGTTAAGTGGCACATAAGTCATATTGTTTCCCATGTATTCTTCACTTTGGTTAATACTATTTTGAATAAAATGTCAATTTTTCAGGAGCATTACATGAGGCTCTATTGGGTAAATTAAATTTCTTGTTGCTCTAGATGTTTATTAGATAAAACTTACTTCAAATTAAGCTTTTTTTAATTGACTAATTTTTTTGCCCTCAGAAACATTGGTAGCATTGTATAATAAGCAGTCCCCTATTTTACAATAATGTAAACATTATTATATCATCACATGATGATATAATATTGTTATTATACCTGAATAAGTAATATTATTCAAATAATGTTACTTATTCAGGTATAATAAATATTGTCGTTCTTGTGTGGTTACTGTGGACAGACCATCAGTAGTGGTGAGCACACTTGATGGTCGCATTACCAGCATGGATCTTGCTACTGGAGTAGTGTTGTGGTCACGGCAGACTGGTGGTAACACCAAATCTATGCTCTCTTCTTCTATGTCAAAGGTAAAGAACACTACATTACTCTGCTTTCTTTCATGACTATGTGCAGTATATATAATTGTGCTCTTACAGATGTGCACTTTATTTAGTTCTAGAGACTGATTGTGTAATGTCAATAGCTGAATTTAACTGTTTATTTTATGATATAATAATATAGTAAAATTCATTTTAGGCATTCATATTTTGACTGAAATCTGGTTTTAAAGGGAGAATGTTGCAAAATTTTAAGTCTCTTTACACTTAGTGAATTTTCTTTTATGTAGTCATTGCACCCTTGCTTTTCACTACATATATTTTGTAACATCTGTAGATTCTTTCTCTCTCTTGTTGGAAGCAATTTATCGATATATATTTAGAGCCAATCTTTCCAAGTGTAAAGTGTTATGTGATGTCTTCTCTGTGTTTCAGGGAGTGCAGTTCAAAGGAAGTCAGGTGCCTCCAATAATTTAGGTGCTTGACTGAAATTATACAGGCAGTAAAATTTCTCTGTACATTCTCTAGATATTCAATTTTCCCTTACTTAAAAGAGCCTGTTACTATACAGCAGTGCAGCAACATGCCCAAAATGCTCATGCATGCTAGTGGCTTTCTTTATGTTTACACACATTGTATACATACACATTGTATACATATGCAAAGAAATAAATTTTGAATTTGAATTGAATACAGGGATCCTATGGCTTAACATTATTAAGGGGTAGAGGGTCTCTCTTCAAGATGATTGTCCTTTATATCAAAATTATGAGAATATAAATCTGGGATGGATGTAAGGCGGTGTAGGTGGATGGTGGGTGTGAAGGTTCTAGATGGTAGGGACTTGTACATCCAGCAGATATGTTGGAGCACTTTACATTGGAATAAGTTTAAACTGTGACTTTTGGGATTTGATGTGCTATTGTTGGAGTGCAAGTAGGGAAATTAGATAGCCAGACTTGAGTTCTGGAGGTGGGAAGTGTAGTGCTTTCATTCTGAAGGATTGGTGAAGATGTTACAGTTCAGAGGGCCTCTTGAATTGTGACTTCTATTCCACTGGGGGATATTACACTACAATTCTTATTTCTTTAGGCAGTACACATTATGTATTTTACAAGTAATAAAACATTGGTTGACACAAAAGCCACTAGTATACAATACATTTTGGGAAAAATTATCCTAATGCTTAACACTTCATGGTCCAGACCTCGAAAATGAAACTTGCTCTCGATGTCAGAAAATTAAAAAAAAAAAATCTGAAATGATAGATATTTTATTTTCAGAAGATAATGACACCAAAAGTACAAAATTTGATGGAAAACTTATGGAATTACGCTGGCACAAAGTTAACGATCTCTGCACATTTTACACATCATTCAGTCATTCAGTTATTTCAACTACCCTATAGACCTCAGAATTCAGTAATTTGGCCAATTTCACACAAAATTAAATAATTGCCAATTAAAAATAGAGTGCATAATAAACAAGGTAGACATTCCTGGCACTAAAACAACATTTCCCCTGTTCATTAGTCTTGTCCCCAGGTCTCTCCTATATTACATTTGCTTTCCATTTTGAATTCTTATTCACACAAAAATAGAATATTTTATCTATTTCTCAAATAATGATATATAACCAGAAAAGTGTGTTCATGGTTTACAGCATCCCAATAATTGAATCATACCTATTAAAAAACCATAAAACAGACGGGGGATTGTAGGGAGACCTTACCTCTTCTCTGGAATATCGAGAAAAATGAAACATTTCTGCTACCTTGAGCTCAGTTTCAAGCTACTTCAGTTCCAGAAACCTATCAAAATTATGTCTATGTCAGTAATATGTGTTCCATTCTATTATATGATACCAAGAAACTGCCAGTAAAACCAAAAAAATCTGAGAACACCACAAATTTGCTATATTAAACCATACACATGGTCACAGTTTTGTTTTTCCCATCATACACCACGTTGGACGGGTTCTTTTTATATGGTGCACACTTACTGAACAGACCCATTCTTTCATATCTATGCCAAAATTTACCACTCCCAGCTTGTCTGAGTATCACAGAACTATTTGGCGGACCCTGACCTCAATTTCATAGTTCTACTTGACGGCCACTGAAAGGGTTAAATGTTACTTAAGATTTAGACACAGACTATTAAGTAAGATTTCTTATGGTGTTGAATAAGTGATCATGAATGTGTTTCCTTCAAGTTATGCCACCTTGGTGGAAATTAGCTGATGTAAAAAAATTAATTTATATTATTTTATTTACTTTGATAGTTGGAGGTAACATCACGAGGTGAATGGGTTCGTCTGATTCCTTCACTGGATGGTGGAATATTCCGATTTGATGGCGAGGGTGTTGAAGCACTTCCTGTTACTGCTGATACTTTACTTCATTCCTCTTTCAAGTTTAATGCTGACACAATTTTCACAGGTACAGTTTAAAGAGTTTCATTTTTGCTCCATGTGTATCATATACTATTAGAGGGTTAATGGAGGTTTGACCATCCATCATGTTTGTGCAAGAGTGTTAGACTGGAGCGAATGAAGATTCCCAGTAAGTGGTGTTTATGGCTTGAGAGCAGGGATGCAGGGAAATAGGCTGGCCAGACTTTGAGTCCTGAGGTAGGAAGTACGGAATCTGTGTTCTAAAGGAGGGGTGATAATGTTACATCACAGGGTCAAATGAACTGATGTCAGTGTACATATGGTAAGACAGTGATTGAGTGAATGATTGTGTGGAAAAAGACACTTGCATACGGTTCAGGACATTTTTTAAAGGAAATGTCACCATGAGTGGCTTCATCATTCCTAATACAGAGTAAGCTAAAACAGGTTAATATATAGTGGATGATGCAAGTGACTGAAGCCGAAGTAAAGTAAGACACTAGGTATGACAAATCGCAGAAAATTTTTTCAACATGTTGGCCGTCTCCCACCATGGCAGGGTGACCAAAAAAAAAAAAAAAAACACTGTTACCATCATTCAGTACTTTCACCATCATTCTATACTTTCACTATCTTTCACACATAATCACTGTCTTTGCAGAAGCACCCAGATATGACAGTTTAGAAGTCACTCCAAAGAGCCCGTATCCCAAACCTCCCTTTTAAAGTGCAGGCATTATACTTCCCACCTCCAGGACTCGAGTCTGGCTAACCGATTTCCCTGAATCCCTTCACAAAATATTACCCTGCTCACACTCCAACAGCTCATCAGGTCCCAAAAATCATTCGTCTCTGTTCACTCCTATCTAACATGCATGCTGCAATCCAAGTCCCTATCACACAAAACCTTTCACTCTCTTCCCCCATACTTTCCTAGGATGACCCTTACCCCTTGTCCCCTCCACTACAGATTTATATCCCCTCCAAGTCAATCTGTTTTGTTCCATTCTCTCTAAATGACTAAATCACTTCAACAACCCCTCTTCAGCCCTCTGAATAATACTTTCAGTAACTCCATGCCTCCTAACTTCCACACAACGAATTCTTTGCATAATATTTACACCACACATTGCCCTTAGATATGGCATCACTGCCTCCAGCCTCTTCCTCTCTGCAGCATTTACAACTCATGCTTCACACCCATATACATGTATTAGTGTTGGCACCACTATACTCTCATACATTCCCTTCTTTGTCTCCATGGATAACATTTTTTGTTTCCACAGATATCTCAGTGCACCTTTTTTCCTTCATCAATTCTGTGATTAACCTTGTCCTTCATAAACCCATCTGCTGATGAATCTACTCCCAAATATCTGAACACATTCACTTCTTCCATACTCCCTCCCTCCAATGTGATATCCAGTTTTTCTTTGTTAGGTAAAAGGACATAAGTGCAACTAATGTGACATTTTATTGTGGCAATGTTTTGCTCTATAGGAGCCTTATCAAGCTGTAACAGCTTGATGAAGCTCCTGGAGAGCAAAACATTGCCACAATAAAATGTCATATTAGTTGCACTTGTGTCCTTTTACCTACCATATTGGCAGTAATTCTTTACCTAACTCGTTTGATACCTTCATCACCTTACTTTTATCTACATTCACTTTCAACTTTCTTCTTTTACACGCCCTTGTTATTTATGTACAGTATTTCCAGTGTTAAAAGTTATTACATTAACTTATTTTTATTAAAAGTCTTTATTTTATTTTTCAGGAGGAAAAGCAACGGAAGTATGGGGGATGGCAGCAAGCTCTGGGCGGGTGATTTATGTGTGTAACTCATTGGGGTGTAAACGCCAGCGAACTGCATCAAAGCCCAGCAATATACTTGTTGTACGACGGGTTACTCAGACTGTGCGTGCTGTGGATCCCAAGTCAGGGGATGAGAGGTATGAGTTTCACTTGTGTTCAGAACTGGGGGCTACATACTACTTAAATGCTGCCTAAACATTTTAGTAAGTGATAATGTCACATACTCCATGTATGGTAAACCATCATGTAATGTGCCAGTTACATTTCTGGGGATCAGTACATAATGTACAATAGCATTACATAAGGGGAAAACAAGGTTATGTTTCAGACACCTCCAAATTTCCAAATAATTTTTTTCACTAGTGTGGTATGAAAAAATTGCTACAGTCTAACTTGGCTTACATTCTGGTAGCTAATACTTGTTAAGTTTGAAGAGTGTGGATATGGTTGATGTGGTCCTCACTAAACTGATACATTGAGGCATCTGTGGCAACAAAAAACTTTTTCTACAGAGGCAAAAAGGTAAATGTACCAGAATATAGTGGTACCAGCACTGTTGAATGGATGTGAAGCATGGGTTTTGAATGTTGCCATGAGGAGGCTGGAGACTGTACATATGTCATATTTGAGGGCAATGTGTATTGTGAATGTTTTGCAAAAAATTTGGAGTATGGAGATTAGGAGGAGGTGTGGAGTTACTAAAAGTATTATTCAGAGGGCTGAGGAGGAGTTCTTGACATGGTTTGGACATTCAGAGAGGATGGAGTAAAATATGGTGACCAGGAAAGTGTATAAATCTGGGACAGGGAAGAAGGGGGTAGGGGTTGTCATAGGAAATGTTGGAGGGCGAGGTAAGGAGGTTTCGAGTGCTTGGGGCTTGGACATCCAACAGGTTTGTGTGATCTTTTTAGGAGCGAGCGGAGGCAAGTGGTTTTCTACAATTTGACATGCTGTTGAAGTGTGAACAAGGTAATATTTATGAAGGAAGTCAGGGAAACCAGTTAGCTGGGATTGAGTCCTGGAAGTGGGAGGAACAGTGCCTTTACTTTGAATGAGGGATTGGGGATTTGGGTGTTCATGCTTCTGGTAAGACAGTGATTGAATATGTGACAATGAAAGCATTTTCTTTGTCAGGTCACCCTAGCTTGGTGGTGACAGCCAAAGAGTTACAAATTTTTTGGGGTAAACCAAACTTGCAAGTGTTGGTATATATAGCTGACAATAACTCCATGTTGTCAAAAGTGCTGAATAACCTTATAACTGAGAGCACTTTAATGCAAAAACTTCCTCCTTTTCTCTATTACCCTCATGTTATATGGGGGTTGCTACTTTATCTTGTATTGTTTCTCACCAGGTGGAACTTTAGTGTGGGCGAGCATGAATTAAACCTAGCTGGTGGTGGATGTGAGTCTGTCAGTACCAAGGAAACACCTACTGACTTCTTACCCACCCTTCACTTCGTTGTTCCAGATGGCACTATTATGGGAATGGATGCCAAGGGCAGGCTCATTTGGCAACAAAAGGTAGGATGCACAAGTTCTTAATAATACAGTAGAATTAAATGATGTTTAAAAGTTATTTAAGAAGAGACAAGAGAGGAGAGAAAGAGAGAGAGTGCAGTGGTTGTCATTTTTTCAACTGCTTTTTTTGGATTTGTAGCATGACCATTTTTTATTTTAAATTTAAGTAATGATTTGCAATTTTTGTAGGTAGTAAGTTGTTAGACAGCCACCCAGGGAGGTACTACTGTTCTCTCATATTGGTGTGAATGAGAAAACTTAAATATTTTACTGTGGCAGGATTGCTGGCCTTTCCTTTCTGTCTCATGAACATTCAGTATTTTTTTTTTTTTTTTCAACAAGTCAGTCGTCTCCCACCGAGGCAGGGTGACCCAAAAAAGAAAGAAAATCCCCAAAAAGAAAATACTTTCATCATCATTCAACACTTTCACCACACTCACACATTATCACTGCTTTTGCAGAGGTGCTCAGAATACAACAGCTTAGAAGCATATATGTATAAAGATACACAACATATCCCTCCAAACTGCCAATATCCTAAACCCCTCCTTTAAAGTGCAGGCATTGTACTTCCCATTTCCAGGACTCAAGTCCGACTATATGAAAATAACCGCTTTCCCTGAATCCCTTCACTAAATATTACCCTGCTCACACTCCAACAGATCGTCAGGTCCCAAGTATCATTCGTCTCCATTCACTCCTATCTAACACGCTCATGCACGCTTGCTGGAAGTCCAAGCCCCTCGCCCACAAAACCTCCTTTACCCCCTCTTTCCAACCCTTTCGAGGACGACCCCTACCCCTCTTTCCTTCCCCTATAGATTTATATGCTTTCCATGTCATAATACTTTGATCCATTCTCTCTAAATGACCAAACCACCTCAACAACCCCTCTTCTGCCCTCTGACTAATGCTTTTATTAACTCCACACCTTCTCCTAATTTCCACACTCCGAATTTTCTGCATAATATTTACACCACACATGCCCTTAGACAGGACATCTCCACTGCCTCCAACCGTCTCCTCGCTGCTGCATTTACCACCCAAGCTTCACATCCTTATAAGAGTGTTGGTACTACTATACTTTCATACATTCCCTTCTTTGCCTCCATAGATAACGTTTTTTGACTCCACATATACCTCAACGCACCACTCACCTTTTTTCCCTCATCAATTCTATGATTAACCTCATCCTTCATAAATCCATCCGCTGACACGTCAACTCCCAAGTATCTGAAAACATTAATTTCTTCCATACTCCTCCTCCCCAATTTGATATCCAATTTTTCTTTATCTAAATCATTTGATACCCTCATCACCTTACTCTTTTCTATGTTCACTTTCAACTTTCTACCTTTACACACATTCTGAAACTCATCCACTAACCTTTGCAATTTTTCTTTAGAATCTCCCATAAGCACAGTATCATCAGCAAAAAGTAACTGTGTCAATTCCCATTTTGAATTTGATTCCCCATAATTTAATCCCACCCCTCTCCCGAACACCCTAGCATTTACTTCTTTTACAACCCCATCTATAAATATATTAAACAACCATGGTGACATTACACATCCCTGTCTAAGACCTACTTTTACCGGGAAGTATTCTCCCTCTCTTCTACACACCCTAACCTGAGCCTCACTATCCTCATAAAAGCTCTTTACAGCATTTAGTAGCTTACCACCTATTCCATATACTTGCAACATCTGCCACATTGCTCCTCTATCCACTCTATCGTATGCCTTTTCTAAATCCATAAATGCAATAAAAACTTCCCTACCTTTATCTAAATACTGTTCACATATATGCTTCAATGTAAACACTTGATCTACACATCCCCTACCCACTCTGAAGCCTCCTTGCTCATCCGCAATTCTACATTCTGTCTTACCTCTAATTCTTTCAATTATAACCCTACCGTATACTTTTCCTGGTATACTCAGTAAACTTATTCCTCTATAATTTTTACAATCTCTTTTGTCCCCTTTCCCTTTATATAAAGGGACTATACATGCTCTCCGCCAATCCCTAGGTACCTTCCCCTCTTTCATACATTTATTAAACAAAAGTACCAACCACTCCAACACTATATCCCCCCCTGCTTTTAACATTTCTGTCATGATCCCATCAGTTCCAGCTGCTTTACCCCCTTTCATTCTACGTAATGCCTCACGTACCTCCACCACACTTACATTCTGCTCTTCTTCACTCCTAAAAGATGGTATACCTCCCTGGCCAGTGCATGAAATTACCACCTCCCTTTCTTCCTCAACATTTAAAAGTTCCTCAAATATTCTCGCCATCTACCTAATACCTCCCTCTCCCCATCTACTAACTCCCCTACTCTGTTTTTAACTGACAAATCCATACTTTCCCTAGGCTTTCTTAACTTGTTTAACTCGCTCCAAAATTTTTCCTTATTTTCATTAAAATTTCTTGACAGTGCCTCTCCCACTCTTTCATCTGCTCTCCTTTTGCACTCTCTCACCACTCTCTTCACCTTTCTTTTACTCTCCATATACTCTGCTCTTCTTATAACACTTCTGCTTTGTAAAAACCTCTCGTGAGCTACCTTTTTCTCTTTTATCACACCCTTTACTTCATCATTCCACCAATCACTCCTCTTTCCTCCTGCCCCCACCCTCCTATAATCACAAACTTCTGCCCCACATTCTAATACTGCATTTTTAAAACTATTCCAACCCTCTTCAACCCCCCCACTACTCATCTTTGCACTAGCCCACCTTTCTGCCAATAGTCGCTTGTATCTCGCCCGAACTTCCTCCTCCCTTAGTTTATACACTTTCACCTCCCTCTTACTTGTTGTTGCCACCTTCCTCTTTTCCCATCTACCTCTTACTCTAACTGTAGCTACAACTAAATAATGATCCGATATATCAGTTGCCCCTCTATAAACATGTACATCCTGGAGCCTACCCATCAACCTTTTATCCACCAATACATAATCTAACAAACTACTTTCATTACGTGCTACATCATACCTTGTATATTTATTTATCCTCTTTTTCATAAAATATGTATTACTTATTACCAAATTTCTTTCTACACATAGCTCAATTAAAGGCTCCCCATTTACATTTACCCCTGGCACCCCAAATTTACCTACTACTCCCTCCATAACATTTTTACCCACTTTAGCATTGAAATCCCCAACCACCATTACTCTCACACTTGATTCAAAACTCCCCATGCATTCACTCAACATTTCCCAGAATCTCTCTCTCTCCTTTACACTTCTCTCTTCTCCAGGTGCATACACACTTACTATAACCCACTTTTCACATCCAATCTTTATTTTACTCCACATAATCCTTGAATTTATACATTTGTAGTCCCTCTTTTCCTGCCATAGCTTATCCTTCAACATTATTGCTACTCCTTCTTTAGCTCTAACTCTATTTGAAACCCCTGACCTAATCCCATTTATTCCTCCCCATATATGCAAATGTATGTATTTTGTTTTGCATACTTACCTGAGTTTTCTTCAGAATTTCTTAATAGTTCTTTTTCTTGTATTTTTTTTTTTCATATTCCAAGGGGAAGCAGGTTAAAATTCTTTTATCTCCTGTGTATTGTAGGGGATTACTGAAATATCAGGAGCAAGGAGCTTGTGATCCCTTCTGTATCAGTTACTGATAAAGTGGCTCTCAGGAAATTCTGAAGAGAAGTTACAAAGATTGATGGAGGAGTTTGGGGGGGTGAGAGAAAGAGGGAAGTTAAAAATGAACATAGAAGAGACTAGCTGAAAAGAATAAGCAAATGTTTAGGTAGTGAAGTACCGCATATCAGATTGAAGGGGAGTATGGAGGAAGTGAATTAAAAATTATTTTTGTTATTAGTAATTCAAATTGATTACCTGTAATCATAAGCTAACCTATAATCCTAAAAACAATTAAACTCAATAAAAGTGTTTATTGTTAACCCTTTCGCTGTTGGTCCCATAATATTACGGTTTGCAAGCCAGTGTCAGTCCCATAATACAGTGGAACCTCGGTTTTCGTATGCCCTAGTTTTCATACAATTAGGTTTTCGACAACTTTTTTCGTCAAAATTTTGTCCCAGTTTTCGTACCTGGAGAGGGATTCGGGGGCCAACGCCCCTGTGGCTCGGTCTGAGACCAGGCCTCATGGTGGATCAGGGTCTGATCAACCAGGCTGTTACTGCTGGCTGCATGCAAGCTGATGTACGAACCACAGCCCAGTTGGTCAGGTACCGACTTTAGGTGCCTGTCCAGTGCCTTCTTAAAGACAGCCAGGGATCTATTGGTAATTCCCCTTACCAAGGTCCCAAGTACCATTCGTCTCCATTCACTCCTATCTAACACGCTCACGCACGCTTGCTGGAAGTCCAAGCCCCTTGCCCACAAAAGCTCCTTTACCCCCTCTCTCCAACCCTTTCTTCACTCCTAAAAGATGGTATACCTCCCTGGCCAGTGCATGAAATTACAGCCTCCCTTTCTTCCTCAACATTTAATTTATTTTTTTTTTTTTTTTTTTTTTATTATCACACCGGCCGATTCCCACCAAGGCAGGGTGGCCCGAAAAAGAAAAACTTTCACCATCATTCACTCCATCACTGTCTTGCCAGAAGGGTGCTTTACACTACAGTTTTTAAAACTGCAACATTAACACCCCTCCTTCAGAGTGCAGGCACTGTACTTCCCATCTCCAGAACTCAAGTCCGGCCTGCCGGTTTCCCTGAATCCCTTCATAAATGTTACTTTGCTCACACTCCAACAGCACGTCAAGTATTAAAAACCATTTGTCTCCATTCACTCCTATCAAACACGCTCACGCATGCCTGCTGGAAGTCCAAGCCCCTCGCACACAAAACCTCCTTTACCCCCTCCCTCCAACCCTTCCTAGGCCGACCCCTACCCCCCGCCTTCCTTCCACTACAGACTGATACACTCTTGAAGTCATTCTGTTTCGCTCCATTCTCTCTACCTGTCCGAACCACCTCAACAACCCTTCCCAGCCTCT